ACCCCACCAGAGCGTCCTGGTCACCCATAGTGGGTGCTCACCCCTGTCCTTGTCTCCCCAGGCTCTCCAGTCCGCACCCTGTTCATGCACCTCCTGTGACTGTGTCACTCAGTACACAAGCTTTCAGAAGCAGCTTCTTCCCTTACAGTGTCATGGTTCCCCCGAGTTGTCATAAAGTCATTCTCTTTATTGGCCAACTCAGGTCCTGCAATGTGAGTGATGCCCACTCTGGAATCGCCAGCCTCTACACTCACTGTGCATTTACCTTCACCATGTTCCCACCACCAGTGCATGACTTAATTCTAGCATCCAGGTGGGGCAATGGCACACTTCCTGTGGCTTTGATCTGCGTGTTCCTAGCTACTAATGATGCTGGGCCCCTTCTCCCATCCTACTGGTCCTCTCGGACCTCGCCTAGCGGCTGTTTAACATCACTGAGTCCTACCGTATTCTCAAGCAGTCTTGACACTGGACCCTGATCAGATTCATGTTATCAAAATGCTTCTCTCATTCTGTATCTTGTCATTTCACTTTCTTACAAAGCCATTTGGTGTACATAAGTAATTTACTTTTGGGGTACAGATCATAAGTATTTCACATTGAATTATACCCTCAGCCCTTTTTAACTGTTTAGCTTGAGATAGAGTCTAAGTTGCTAAATTACCCAAGCTGGGTTCACACATTTGATTTTCCTACCTCAGCTTCCTGAGTGCCAGGGCTACAGGGACACACCCTAGTCCTATACCTGGCTCTAACCCTAGCCCTAGCCCTAGCCCTACCCTAAGCTCAATTTCGATGGGGCCCAACTCATCAATTTTCATCTGGCCTCTGTTTTTTTGGGTGTTGTGTATGATTGTGCATCTCCAGGCCAAGGTCACAGCCATGAAGAACCTCTGAGAGTTTCCCACCTTCCATACCCACATCGAGGTCAGATCCATGTTGCCCGTGGTGATGTGAGTCCGACCCCAGGCCCACAGGGGGCGCCGCCGTCGCAGCCCCTTGGGGAGAAGCCTGCCCCGTGTCCTCTGCACTGCCGCCCCTCTCTGGTTCCTGCTCTGTTGCAGGCTGCGGGTTCCTGGCTTCTCCTGGGTTGCTCCCCGCCACACTGTAGATGTCACCTCCCCTGCGGGCCGGCATCTCAGGTGCTCAGGGACCCCTGTGCGCCTCCGGGGCTCTTCCTCCCAAGTGCTGCCCCGCATGGGTCTCTGTCTCACCTTCTGGTCACCACCACTGTCCCCAAGTCCCTCCTTGGCCTCCACCCCCCTCCCACGGCCACCCTGCCCCCTCTGCCGGGCCCCTCTCTCCTCTCTGGCTTCAAGCTGCCAGGGTGACGTGGCTTCGACTCCCCTCGCTCAGGGCTCACGGCCGAGCCTGCCCTGGGGTCCATGTCTACAGGCAGCCCTGACATGGGTTCTGGCCCGCTTTCCCTTTGTCCATGATGGGGACGATTTAGCATTCATACTTGTCACCCTCCAGCACCTGGACAGATGTCACAGCACCATCACTGTGAGCCCAACTGCTGCAGAGTCTCCCCAGCAGTTCCTCTGCCGCTGTGTTTGCCCCTGGAATCTGTCCTCAGTGTGGTCACAGGGCGACCCTTTCAAAACATAACATCCCCACTCTGTCAAGGCCTCCAAGCTGGGCTCCTTGTAACACGCTCAGCCCCGCAGTGGACCCTGCCTCCCTGTGCCCGTGTCCCTGCCCCTCGCCCTGTGTTCCTGGCCCGTGCCAGGGCCCCGCCCCCTCCAGGCCAGCACTCGCTGTCCCTCCCTGAAGGCTGCTCCCACTTGTCCTCCTTGCCTCACTTCCTCCCCTGCCCTCGGGTCTCCGCTCAAAGGCCACCTTGGTGAGCTGACCCGCACCGCTCACCTAGAACACAGCGGCCCCTTGTCCCACAGCCACTGCCCCACTTGTTCCATTTGCTTCCCCCACAGCTCTTATCGCCTTTAAAATGATATATAATTATATGAATCGGCGGTCAGTCAGGAGATAGAGCCGCACAATGCACTGAGCAGGGAGAGTGTGTGTGACGAACAATGGGCAATGCTTGTGTAAGAGCTGCAAAGGACGGCGCGGGGTCACAGGAGAGCTAAAGAGGAAGAGGTGATGGCGAGGGGCTTTCCACAGGCTGGGCCAGGCCTCGTGGGTGGGAGAGGGGTGGCTGCAGCCCAGGGCTGGGGACCTCTGCTGGGGCCAGTGCAGGTCGGGGCAGGAGCTAGGGAAGAGCGGGCCAGCCAGGCAAGCACTGGTAGGTGGCTGGGGGCTGGGGAGCCCTCATGATTCCTTGGAATCTACTTGTGGGGTGCCCTGAACCTCAGTAGGAAGCTCTCCCTGAGATCAGTGTAGCTGAGTGCCCCGGATGTCCCCTCCTGCGCCACTGGCCCCCTGGTTCAGCTGGGGGTGGGGAACGGAAGTTTCCTGGGAGGAGGGGAGAGGGCCGTCCTCCTGAGCCCCCACCAACACGCTTAGTGTCATGCCAGGTACAGAACGGAGCGTGCCTGCTGGGTCCAGCTCCGTTGTCACCGAGCAGGCCATGAAGGATGTGTAGAGGGTGCTGTGTTTATAATTTGAAGGTTCATTTTTACAGCACAGGCGCACAATTCATCTTTGTGTATTTATGTTGTATCCTACTACCTTGCTGAGCACACTTGTTGCTTGTCAGCTTTTTCTTTTTTGTTTTGCCTTTAGATTCCTTGAGATTTTCCACACAGATAACCATGTCATCCATAAAGCAAAAGTTGTATTTCTTTTACCCTAATCTATATATCGCCATTCATTCATTCCTTTATTCGTTACCTTCTTCTCTTCCTCCTCCCCTCCCCCTCTCCCTTCTCTTTTCCTTCTTCACTATAAATGCCTTGAATGGATCTTTCTGCAGTCCATTAAATATGAGGTGTGAGTGCACACCTTTGCCTTATTGTAGGTATTGGGAAGGGGAACATTGCATCTTTTGCCATTAATAATGATAAGGTTGGCTGTTGGGTTTTTATAGATCGCCTTTATCAACGTAAGAGATTTTTCCTCTATTTCATTTCTTAGAGCTTTATCCAAAATGGGATTGAATTTTGTCAAATGGTTCTGCATTGATTGATGTAAACATGTAATTTTCTTTTTAACTTTACTTGATTAATTTTATTTTTTATTTTTTTGAAGGGCCTAAGCATGGAAGGATTTTATTATAGTCCAAGACTTGCTGGGGACGGGCGCACTAACCCCTGCTCGTCAGTCAAGTCGGCCCCTACGGCGTTCGTGAGAACTATTCTAGCTGTGATCGGCAGCACAACCCTGAATCTCTGATCTTATGGAAATCTCCAACTCTTTGTAAAAGGCTGTTTGCTTTTTTTAATCCCCTAAACAGGGTTGGGGTGAGGAGGGGAGCCTTCCTCCGAGATCGCTCACCGGCCACTCCGCTCCTTACAGCCCAGGGGGAGAGATCCTCCTCCCTTAAGATGAGCCACATCGGGCTGGAGAGATGGCTCAGTGGTCTAAAGCACCTACTTAGAACAAGCTTAGCAAAAGCATCAGGGACCGCGGTTCAATCCCCCAGCACCACATGCCAGCCAGCCCCGCCCCCTGGTGGGCTGAGCTGGCCTCTCTCTCTCTCTCTCTCTCTCTCTCTCTCAAATAAATAAATAAATAAATAAATAAATTTAAAAAAAAAAAAAAAAAAGATGAGCCACATCGTAGGTCGATCCGACCGGAGGGAAGCCCGGCGCACCCCGCTGGAAGGAAAGGCTGCCGCGCAGGAGGCACACTTCCGCTCTAGGGTCCTCGATCCTGTCCCGCTGCAGACAGACATGGCGCACCCTCCTTCTCCCGTCCCTGGAGTGACGCAAAGTCTCTTTCTACGCCTTCTTGCACAGAAAGGGAGCTCTGCCCTTCACCTCACCTCACCTCCAGAAGCCGCCGCCCTCCGGACCATGATTAATTTTAAAGTCGAGCCTACCCTGGGACGGCAGCTTCCTGCTCAGAGGGCCTTCCACCCTGCACAGCGCTGGTCCTGCGGCACCCTCAGGACGCCAGGCATCCAGAGGGCACGAGCTTGTTGGCACTATTCAGAGTCTCAGGCCATCCACCTCAGCGCAGAGCGCAGGCGCTGTTGGGGGCCCAATACCGGTGGGACTGGTGGGGGAGGCGGAGGTCTTGCTCTCCCAGCGTGGCACCAAGGTCAGGAGTGGGGAGCGGGGGAGCCTGGCCAAGTGCTGACCCAGGCAGGCGTGTGGCCGCCTGCACCTTTTACCCAGGCAGAGCAGCTCTGGCCTGTCTTGGGGACCCATGGGGTCAAAGCTATCGAGGGAGGGGAAAGGCTCTGAGGTGTTGGGTCTTCACGGGATGATGTTAAGGGGGTGACATGGGGGTGGGCTCACGACAGGCTGTGTGGTCCCTCATCCTGGATCCCAAGCCTAAGAGTGGAGGGACCAGTGTCTGGGGAGCCCTAACAGGGCCGGGTGCCGGGGCTCCCCAGGTCCCCAGCAGGCCCCCAGATGACCTGCAACAGCGGTGCATGTCCCCTGCTGCACACGGGTGACTGTACCCCCAGAAGTTATGTCACCAGGCTGCTCCATCCCAGGACCAATCTCCCTAACCCCAACATGTGGCCAACGTGCTTCCTGCAGCCCATAAGGAGCGTCTAACCTTGGGAGTCGGTGCCCTGCTCTCGGGGACTCAGAGAGGAGAAAATGAGGGGCACAAAGAAGAAAACTGGGACAAGATGCCCTCGTGGGAAGGTTCTGAAGAGAGTGTGCTGCCCCAGGGTGGCCCTGGGGGTACAGCGGAGGAGCTGACAACCAGAAGCAGCCCCTGACCTGGGATGTGCCAGGGTGGGCTTCCCAGGCAGGGGAGGGCAGAGCAGATGTGAGCTTCACTTGGGCACCGACACTGTAGCCTATGGGTGGGCCGGGCCCCAGGGTGGGTAGACACTGGCGGGCACTGCATCTTATCCCAGGTGGCATTAGGTTGTTATTCACCGGATCCCAACAATAACACCACCACACTCCGTGATGGACGTGGACTTGGCCATAAGGATGTGGGAGGGGCATGGTCAGTGCCAAGTGTGCACCAGCCCTGGCCACAGGGGACATAAAGGGCGCCTGGAGAGGAGCGGACCCAGCCTCATGCAGCCTGCGGGAGACCTGCTCAGCCACGAACACAGCGCTGGGATGAAGACCCTGCTCCTGACGCTTGTGCTGCTCGGCCTGGTGGCTGCCCTGCAGGCCCAGGACCCCCTGTCCCTCCAGCCAGAGGAGCCAGATGTGAGGCTGGGTGGGGGCGGCAACTGGGACGGTTTGGGGGCACTGTGTAAGGCCGGATCCAACCCTGCACTCCCCACCTGGTGTGGTCAGAGATTGAGGAGTTCTGCAAACGTGGCCGCTCCTGGCCCAGGGTGGGCATCTAGCTTGGGTTGTGCTGGGCTTAGGGCTCCCCACTCCTGCTCCAGATCACAGGGAAATGGTACATGAAGGCCATAGTGACCAACAGGAACATGACACAGAGCCCCAGGCTGGCATTCCCCCTGACAGTGACAGCCCAGGGAGATGTGAACTTCGAGACCAGGATCACCTTCATGTGAGTGTGGCCCAGTGAAGACCCTCGGTTCTGCTGCCCTTCTCTCCTATCCACAGTTAGGATGTTGATGACAAAAGTTCCCTGAATTTGAGGAGACACAGTCCTAGGTGGCACCTTACAGTTCATGTGGGGATGGAGTGGCATTTTGGGGATCACTTGGTTGGAGCAAATGCCCAGGTTGCTGAGCTGCTCAGATGTGGCCCGAAGCCGCCTGTCCCCATGCCTCCTGATGTCTAGGTGGAGGGGCGGCTGCCACAAGAACACGCTGCGCTTCCAGAAAACCAGGGACCCCAGCGTATATATGTGTGAGTCCTGCCTGCAACGCGCGAGGCCCTCCATATCCCTGTCCTAGGAGTGGCAGTCTCCGCTTGCCGCTGACACTGGGTGTCACAGCCATGTCCAGACCTGGAAGTCACCAGGCCACGCCTCCTTCTCGCTGGCCCTGGGAGAAACTGAGGGCTCAGAACCCAGGAAACAGGAAGGACAGCTCTGGGGGGCTGGGGCCGAACTCCAGCCTCACTGTCCCTGGCCTCCATGGCTGGAATCCGCAGCTGGGTTGGCTCCTTCTGGCAGAGGGAGGGCTCCCACCCAGCAGGGCTCCTGCCTAGTGATGGGGACACAGCTGGGGATCCTGGGTGACCCTGACTGCTCCCTAATGTGGTCTCTGGAGACACTAAAGAGCACTTTCCTCTGTCGTCTAGTTTGGAACCTCACGCGCATACACATAGAGAAACTGTCCGTGAAGGGCCACTACATCTGCTACGCTGAGCACCAGCTTCTCTTCGGGGAGAACTTGCACATGGGATACCTCCTGGGTGAGGGGCCCACGGACCCCAGCCCCTGCCCGCCGTCTTGACCCAGGGACTCAGACACCCGGGCCACCTTCAAGGGCCCAGGCACAGTGTGTTGCGGGTAGAGTGCCAGCTCTGTACCCTTGGGAATCTGGCCACTTGGAAGGGACATTAGGGACCCTGCAGCTTTCTGGGGCCTCAGATGTCAGGACAGGCCAGCTGGAAGGAAGTGGCCTTCAGAGGCCTTGGGGGACAGGGCCCCTCCAGGGTCAAGGACAGCCTGGAGCCTCCAGGACAGATAGGAGGTCCTTCCAGACCAACGTGTGACACTGCAGGACTGCCCTATCCTCTGGTCACAGGGCAGCTCAGGCCCCAGGCAACTGTTAGCTAGGTGGTGGTCACCACTTCCTCCCTCTCCGTTTGTCCTAAGCACTCCCAGTCCCCTCTCAGGTCCCCCTCCCATTTCACCTGTCCTGTGTCCTGCAGGGAGGACCCCGGAGGAAAACCCCAAGGCCTTGGAGGAGTTTAGGAAATTTGCACAGCGCAAGCGATTCCCACAGGAGAAAATTGTCATCCCTGAGCAGAGGGGTGAGCGGACCCCTTGGACCACATCCTCTCCTGTGTCCCTCTGCATGCTCTGTGTCCCTCCATGTCCCCGTGTTCCTCTGTGTCCCCGGTGTTCTCCCATGTCCCTTGTATCTGTGTCCCTCAAGTCTCTTTGTGTCCCTCCATGCCCCTCCTTCTCCTCACGGGCCCCTGGGCTCTGCCTCTTGGAGGGTCTGAATTCTAGCGTCCAGGGTCTCAGTATCCATCCAGGCTGCCTTTTGACTGCCGGGTTTTTCTTGGTCCCTACAGAACACTGTGTCCCCAAGCGTGGCCATGGTAAGTGACCCCTGGGAGGACAGCGTTAGGCCAAGGAGTTCCAGGCTCTATCTCTCTGGCCCCCTCCTGTGCATGCAGGCAGCAGAGACCCCCACTTCCTACCCCTGGGCCAGGCTGCAGAGGACATCTAAGGAGTCACCCTGAGTGTGGACATCTGGGAAGTCCTGTGTTACCAACGCCGGCCCAGCACGTCATCCTCAGCCTACCCCCTCCTCCCCTAGACCCCCAGGTGCCCGGTGACAAGGTGACACAGAGAGGCCACCACTGTCCCCACAGCAGAGCCCTGACCTGGGTTCTTCCTGCCATGCAGCAGTTGCCCAGATCTGCACCCTGGAGCTCTCCCTCCCTGCCAGACTGGGTCTCTGGACCCAATCCCCACCCCATGGCAGCCTCCACCTTGCCGCTGACCCCACCCCACTTCAAATAAAGAACTTCAGCAGCAGCTGTGGCTCAGCCTGTCTGTGACCCCTCAGGCGCTCCGTTGGGCCCACGTGGGAGCATGTGGGAAGCCACGGGGTGGGCAGGATGGGGGACATCTGCGTCATGGCTGCAGATGGTATGCAGGTCCCAGGCAGGGGTCCTGCCCAAGAGGGACTTGGGGACCCTCGAGGGCTTGCTCACACGACTGGGCTCAGTGCGGGGGTGGGGGTGGTGCCAGCCTCCATCATCACCCCTCAAGCAGACAGAACCAGCCGCAGCCCCCCCCCCCCAGGCTCCCTCCTGTGGTTTGTCCAGGGCCAGGGTCTGCCCTGACTCGGCCTACAGGACACAGCAGCCACTGTAGGGGCAGAGGCCCTGTCCTGGTGAGAAGACACCCCAGAACCACACGTCCCAACGGGACCTGGGTCCCCAGAGGACAAGCCTCAAGTGCGCCTCCTTCCTGAGGGCTGGGATGGGTTGGCCAAGTGACCGACCGCTCAGCGGCCCTCGCCCACCTCCCGCCCGACCCTCAGTCTCCCCGCCGCCCCGTCCTGCCTGGACCCGGGGCTCGTGCTGCCCGAGGTCTGTGGAGTTCGCTGTCTCTGCGCGGGGGCCTGGAGCGCCAGGGCCGAGGCCGGGGTTCCGGGCACACACGTGCACCCACACTGGCAGGAAGTGGCCGGGGCGCAGCGGAGCGCTCGGCGAGGGCTCGGGCCTGGGACCCGGGCTGCCCTGCCCTGCGCTCGGCCGCTCTGGCGTCAGGCCTCCTCCTTCACCGCCCATCTGTCCCACGCGAGGCCCGGCCGGCTTAATCCGGGCCACTCTGCGGGCCGCACAATGGATTCTGGGTCAGATTTCAGCCGCCTTGCCCTGAGACGACAAGAGTCACGGTGTCGCTTAAGGACGTCACACGACTTTCTGGCTTTCCCTCTGCTTGTGCCCTTCGATGTTTCCTTTCTGAAGCCTCCAGCGCGGGCAGAAGCAGTCGCCCACCTGCGGTCCGCAAGGTCCCTGCCGCTCCACGTGTGGACACGTGGGGGACCCCGGGGGTCCCCCAAGCCTTGCCTCCGGGGCTTTGATCCAAGGGTGCAGACACGCGGTGTCACCGTGGAGTCACGTCACGCCATGTCCCCCAAAAGCCCACTTTCCCCTGACAAAATGCCACACCGATTCTGCAAATGCAGGCAGTGTCGTCTGCACACAGCGACGGGGTGAGCCAGGTTTTGTGCACGTCACCAAGGCTCCGTGCCCAGCGGGTGGAATCACTCAGCCCCACTTCCCCTGGCAGGGAGAGAAGCCGGGGATGGCGCAGCCCCGTGGGGGCTCTGCAGCGTCCAGGGCCGCGGCTGGTCCTGGAGCTCTCCAGGGTCGGCGGCCCCGACGTCCATAGCTTGGTAAATGGCTCCTCTGTCCACACAGATTTCTAGGACCTTCTGAGCCAAGACCACCGCAGAAATACCGCACGCAGGGGACAGCCCGGCTAGAACCCGGCTGCCGAGGTCGCCGCAGAAGGCCCGCCCACACCGGCCCGCCCAGCCAAGAGGAGTGCGGCTCGTACAGCCCGGCAGCCTGTGATTGGTCCGCATGCACGTCTGTGATTGGCTTGTGTCCGCGACTGCTGATTGGTCCAGCTTGGTCTACTGCACAAGCTTAGGGATCTGAGCCTATTGACTGGTCCACGTTCAACTTTACGGCTAGGTTCAAATTGCAAGGCACTGAGGTCGGGACTGACGCCTCCAACAGTGGGCTTAGGGGTTTCCAGGACACTGCAGTTATGGCAGAAAAATGGAAAGGCTGAAATCTGTCCTGGGCATGTCACATAAATGCACTCCCACAATGTGTGGCCTTTCAAGAGAGATCGAGAGGGTGCATATTCCCCGCATCATAACAGGGAGAAATGATGTTGGTTTTAGTGCAGCTTCTACTTGAAGTGGGAGGAAGGTGACATTACTAATAACTTTCCACCGAAACATCTGGCAGCTCTCATAGACAGAATGAGCAGAGACATAAGCTACCAAGGCCCGCTGGAGAAAAGTTGCTAGCTCAGGGGGCGCTAGGCCCCCTTGGGCGTGGACGCGGGGCTTCTAAGGCCCCACGTGCTGCATACCCTGACTTGCAGCGCCGAGTGGACAGGGCCTGTCCCCTGGCGACACCCAGCAGAGACGCGCAGAAGTGACTTCATTTTAATAGTATATGAGTTGATTCACAGAATCACAAAGCATGAGTGTAGTGTCCACTTAGAGAAGAAAGCCTCCTTTCCATGAGAAGGATTTCTCAGGTCGAGAAGCCCAGACCTCAGAGGTAAAGGCAGAAGGCAAGGAAGTGAGGGGTGCAGATGAGTCTCGGGGAGCAGAGTGAGCCCTAGGCTGGGCTGCCCTTCAGAACTGTTGTGGACAGGAGCTGCCCTGTGCTCCCTCCTCCTCCTCCTCCTCCTCCTCCTCCTCCTCTTCCTCCTTTTCCTCCTCCTCCTCCTCCTCTTCCTCCTTTTCCTCCTCCTCCTCTTCCTCCTTTTCCTCCTCCTCCTCTTCCTCCTCCTCTTCCTCCTCCTCCTCCTCTTCCTCCTCTTCCTTCTCCTCCTGCAGAGCTGTCTGCTGAAGTCCTGACTCAGCCTTGCATATTGGGTTGGGTGTGGGGTGATGGCAGTGTGTTCTCTCGTAGGTTGAAGTGTTTGTGCCCCCCCGAGATTCATAGGATGGAATTGAAACCACCAAGGTGATGATGCTGTTAGGAGGTGGGGCCTTCCGGAGAGGATTGGTTTGCGGGGATGGAGCCCCTGAGAACAGGATTCGTTCACTTACAGAAGAGGCCGCAGAAGGCTGCCTGTGCCTTCCACCGGAGGCCATTTCTATGAAGCATCAAAGAGATTCTCACCTGATGCCGTGTGGGCCAACACTTTACCTGGAGCTTCCAGCCTCCAGCAGTATGGGAAATAAATTTCTGTTGCTAATAAACCATCCAGGTTATGGTGCTTTGTCACTGCAACTTGAGAGCATTCAGATGGGCTGTACGTGAGCTGGTGGAATGCTGACGGTGTGGTGCCCTTGGCATGCTGGCCGGTGGTCTCTGCTACGGACTTAGTGGTTGGCGTCTGCCGGCTGGCTGTTGGTTTTTCTCATTGTTAGTGTGCGTCGGTTGGTAGCGTGTGATTGTTGGTGGTATACATTGATTAGCTGGTGCTGTGGGTGTCTCTTATGGTTCAGATCGAACATGTTCCTCCAAAGTGTTCTGAAACAAGGCTTTGGAAGGTACCAGATCATGGGGCCCTGGAGTCGGTGGATGAATCCCTTGATGAGTTCCTGACTGAGGTGGAGTTAGGAGGTGGCGTCTCTTCCAAGTCACAGCCTGCCCTGCCCCAGGGAAACTGCTGAGCCAGAAGGAACTCTCTGAGTCTGTCTTAGTTACACTTTTCTCATTGCAGGAGAAAATACCTGACACCCAGATTTAAAGATGGAAAGGTTTATTTAGCTCACAGTTAGTGGAGGCTTCAGTCCATGCTCAGCTGGCTCCAAGGCAGGGCAGCACACAGCAGAGGGCAGCCGTTCATGGTGGTTAAAAATCAGCAAAGAGCAGAGGCAAGAAGGAGGGACAGCGGCAGCAGAGGCAGAGGCAAGCCCTTCTCCTTTCCTCCTATCGCCTTTGGGCTCTCTGTCCCGGGCTGTGTGCAGCATTCACACCCATAATTCCAGCAACACTCACACCCACAATCCCAGCAGTACTCAGATCCACAATCCCAGCAGTACTCACACCCACAATCCCAGCAGTACTCAGACCCATAATCCCAGCAGTACTCACACCCACAATCCCAGCAGTGCTCAGACCCATAATCCCAGCCTTGGATCATGAATTAATCAAACTCTAGAACCATGTCCCAGTGACTGCATGAGGCTTTGAGGGGACAACTACCCTTGGACACAGCCATAGCAGAGTCCAAGTCCTCTTTGTGTCGCTGATGTCCAATAATGGAAGGACTGTTTAAGTTCAATTCCTGAGGCTCTTTCTTGGCTGGCAGAGGGGCTCCACCCCTTGTCCTAGCTTTTGATCCTTCCTGGTGTGTCAGACAATTTGCTTTAGCTGCCTGTTGCATGCCAGTTGAAAAGCAGAATCTTAGAGAAAACCAGGTGTCAGGTGGGAGAAGCAGCCCTCGGACAGTGGACAGTGCAGCCTGCACCGGGCACAATGGGCAGCAAAGCTGGGCCTGACTCCTCCCTAGGGTTCCAAGTGAGAGAACTAGATCTCCTGGAAAGCCTCAGGTCATCTGCAAGAGTCTGCTCAGCACATTTTGGCTGATCAGCAAGTTTGCTTTTCGATTCCAAGTGGGCTGCTTTCTTTGACTGGAGCCCGTGAAAGAGCTGTGAAGCAGCGCTGGGACCGTCCTGCAGCTACAAGTGCGGGGCTAGCGCACCTTCTTTCTGCTGCACTAAGACAGCTTTGTTCATCGGGCTGCCCTGGACGTCTTATTCAGCCCTAACTGGAATATAGTCGTTTGTGAGGTAGCTCTGAGGCCCAAGGAAAAAAATACATTAGGAACATTGTAAAATCCAAGCAGCCATGGGGTCTACCATGGAAAGGGACCCGTAAAGACAGAGGAAAATCTGTAAAGAAGTCGTTGGTTTGGGGGTATATTTTCAGTAAGGAATGTTGTGTGATAAGCATTTCCCCTGACAAGATAAAAAAGAAAAACAAAGGAGAGAGAGAGAGAGACAGACAGAGA